CGCAATCATACAATTATACAAGTTTTTATTAATTTTCAAGGGTAGTTTTTTTTTGTTTAAAAGCTGTAAACGGTCGATAGGTCAATTTCTCTATAAACAAAGGTGTCGTCGGCGTGACTTACTTTTAATTCACCGTATTGAGTACTCAGTGGTTTCAACTAGTTCCACGCCACTTTTCCTAATGATTATTATGATTTAAAAAAATTTTCGCAGACCAAGAAAAGACTTAAAAAGGTCAGAAATTTTAGCTTGAAAGTTCTTTTTTTTTGTTTTTTTTAATTAGTTATAACAGCAATATAAACCAATCTTTAATTATACTGTACAGAGGTGTCGAACTAAGCCAAGGTCCAATGCTTCCAAGCAACCATTTTTTTCGAAAAATGCCTAATTTTACAATCTAATTTAAAATTATTTCATGTAAGTAGCCAAAGGCTCAAAAAAACATTTTCAGATTAATAAACTAGTATACGACTTAGGCAACAACAGTGCTTTGGGTTTAGTGAAAGATGGCACGCATCTAAAGACAACTGGGGCTCGGATGATTAATTGGGGCTCGGATGATCTAATTGAGGCTCGGATGACCCAATCAAAAACGGGAGGACAGCTATTATTAGTGCCAAAAAAGATGAAAGCACGGTTCAGGCCTGAACTTAATACTTTTGAGTTTTGGTTTGGAGTTTTGGGGCCGATATTCAAATTAATCGAAGTCATTTTCAGTAATTGTATTCTACTGTCCCATGGAAAAAATATATACTGATTTTCTTCAACAACTTGCAAAAGGCATTAAAAAAGCAGCCATAGGAATAATAATTTGACTCTGATTGGTGAATTTAGTTTGAATTGTTTGATTAGAGATGAAAAACAAGAAATGGAAACGACACTATGTCTTATGGTCTTTCAAAAGGCAACGGTTTTACACCTACAGTACCTGCTGGTAAATCAATCATTGATTATATTACTTATGATACCAGTTTCAAAACAGTAGACACCTTCGTGTTTAACTGTCCAATGAAAAGTGATCAGCTTAATGTACTAAAAGTTTTGCAACTCAGTCTAACTTAGAAAAAAATTTTGTTAACGTAAAACATAATTAGTTGACAAAATACTCAGTAGATGAATACAAAAAATCAGTAAAAACATTAGATTGGTCAATTGGTCAAATTTTTATATGCGAATTGATGCTGCATGTATGTTGACTGTTTTTGAACATATTTTCCATGAAATGGTTTTGAAACAAGCACCGGTTAAAAAAGCCTTCATAAGAAACGAAAACCGGTCTTTTCATCAGCTTAACAATGTATCGAAAATCACACGCAGTTTAAACAAGAAATGTGAAAAATTACTAAGGAAGTTTTTTTGAAAATTCACAAACTTAAAACTTTTAGTGTAAAAAGAGTGAACGAAAGATTATGATAAGTTTTACAACCAGATAATTGGATCACCTTCATCAGGAAGATTAAATTGGAACTAATTAAACGAAGTTCGGAACAGCAAAAAGACAGCTTGCGATATTCCTTCGATAAGAAGTTCATTTGGCAATGTTTTAATTGATAGAAAACAAGCAGTAGTTTTCGTCCTTTCCAAATTTAGTAAACTGGGCGAAATTTTATTTGAACCTAACTTATCCAATTACTGTAAGCCTAGAACATTTCTTCTCCGGGGGATCTTTCTTTTTTAACTTGAGTACCTGACATGAAATACTAGAATTTCTTTTTGATAAAAATTAAACTCTTGGGTCCTTATAAAACACCAGCATGGCCCATATATGATGCGGCTAATGCAATAGCATCTTTAGTAAATCAACTAGTTAATGAATACTTTGCTCTCAATATTTTTCCGTGTAGACTTAAAGTGGCTAACACACCACCTTTGTTCAAAAAAGGGGATACCGAAGATGTAACAAACGTCAGATCAAAATCTATTACTCCTGCACTGGTAAAAGTGTTTGAAAAAATTCTTCAAAAATAAACGGTTGATTACCTAGATCAATTCCATTTGATGAGTAAACATCACTTTGGCTTTCGAAAACGTTTCTCTACCACAGATGAATTAATGATTTCGAAAGAAACAACCAGATCACAAACCGACAAAAAAACGCTGGTTGCGATGGTTCTTTCTATTTATTCAAAGCTTTTGACTCAATTGATCATAATTTTGTGTTAGAAAAAATGCAATACTTAGGCGGCTTTGATTCAACTGCCATAAGTGTTATTGAGATATATCTGACAAACGGACATCATAAAGTTGTCCTAATTGGAACAGAATCAGATTGGCTCACAGTCGTAAGAAGAGTTCCTTAAGGTATAGTCCTGGGACCTCCTTGAATCAATCTTTATTAATTGTCTAGTATTCAGAAATTTGCAATTTTCGGCTGTGATTCTGGGTACGATATCAGAAAATCTAATTGTTACTCTAGAAAACAATTACGCTGAGCCTTTAAAGCCTGCTATGGTGTGTCCAAATTTCAATCTTCTTCAAGTTAAAACTAAATTTTACCTCTTCGTACATAAATTTTACCTCTTCGTTTTTTGCTTAGTTACGGATCATCATTTTACATTCATCAGTTTTTTTTTAAAACAACTTGCTTTTCTGGTTACAATGGTTTTTAAGGATGGGCTCGATTTAACAACAGCGACACTCTTTACATGAGAGAACAATTGAAATTGTTCGCAAGGTTTTCTGTAATAGCTAATTTGCAAAAAACGTTTCTTTACGAAATATAATTTTTGGCATCATGATCAGCAACTAATTGAGTAATTTTTTTCAAATGTACTTTACTTCACATCAAAAAAGTAAAGAGAAGGACCCAGGCCAAGTGTCGTACGGAGAGCTATCAAGGAAATCATTTAAATTCTCTTGAATCATGTCTTTGTGCTATAATTTCATTTTCATACAGATCAATTTTCTACATTCAGGGATATATAATGATGATCATCATTTAACATTCGCCATTTTTTTGAATTATCAAAGCCTGCTTTTCTGGTTACTAATGGTAGGCCCAGTTTAACAACTGCAAAATTCTATTTGAATAAGAGAACAAATATATAAGTTAACCTCGTTTTCCGCAAAAGCCAATACGCAAAAAAAGCATTTTTAGAAAAGATATTTTATTGCATAATGATCGTCAATTATTAGAGCATTTTTATGCAAATGTACATTATTGCACATCAAAAAAGTACAAAAAAGCCAATAAAAATGTAAAAAATACAGATTGTCGTTATACATTCACAGCGTTTAAAAAGGTTAAAAAGGTCAAAAAACTGCTTTTCCGGTTACTGAAGATGATCTTGAATTACCAGCAGCAAAACTTTTTTTACATGAGAGAACAACTAAGTTTGTTCACACTGTTTTCTGCACTAGCTAATATGCAAAAAAAATTTTAGAGCAGGGATTTTTTACTGCATAATGAGCACCAATTAATTGAGCAACATTTCGCAAATGTACTTAATTGCACATCAAGAAAAAGAACCGTTTTAAGAGCGACCCAAGCCAAGTGTCGTACGGAAAGCTATTATTGAAAAAAAAGTTAAGTTCTTGTAAAGCATGTTTGTGTGCTGTAATGTCATATAAACTTTTGTCTTGTCTGTCAAAAAAAAATTTTCTGCATTTCCTGCTATAATAGTTGATAGTATATATCAAATTTCAGGAAATTCAGTGTTTTTCAAGAAAAAACCACACCTAGCTACAAACAATTTGGCCACTTTAATTGACAGAGATAACCAAGTTTGAACAAGGGAGCTCTGAACAGACTTGTCACAGACAAAGGGGACAAATCAAAACGTTACAGCTTTTAACAAATTTATCGGAAGTCTCAACTTTTTGACGTAATTCTGTCCTTGAAAGAGTGAAATAGTTGCATTTGCAAATTGTATTTGAAACTAAAAAGCATACCAAAGTTATTGCGCTTTTTTAGAGGTCAGATTTTTTGAATATCTTCAAGCCCTTAAATTCAAAACTTTTTGTATTCAGCAGCCATCTGACATTAAATTTTCACACCTAAGCGAAGCTTCGCCTCGCAAAAACTGGCGAGAACACGACTAAAAAGCAGCTCCAGAATGTGGAATAAGCAAAAACAAAATAAGCCTCGAATTATCTAAATCTAGACTAGGCCTAGAATTCGATCGGTGCCCTACTGCAATCAACAGATTTTGAGTCTCACGCACTATCCACTCAGCCAAGCAAGCTTGACAATCGACAAACACTAGTAACGAATAAAGCAGCTCCATATGCTAGTAAATTACCTGTGCCATTCAGCAAAAGTAGCGCCAAAAGCAATTAGACTCAATTTTGTAAGTAGTAACCTGGATTATATAACTAAAGGCATCCACACTAACTTTGCCTTTAACAAATCGCGAAGCATAAAACCATACTGAATAAAATATGCATGACGTTTTCCGATAAATTTTATGACGTTGTCCGATAAATTTATTAAATGCTTCAATTATATGAAACGTATGATTCATATTATTTAAAATTCTTTAAAAAAATTTAATTTTCCTTCTCTTCTGTAACTGTCTCCGAAATCTTGAGCTTGAAAAATTCAGGACCCTTCAACCCAACTTCAGATATTTTAAAACGTAAGGCTCCGTTCATTGCTTTCATGTGACTGAGAGGAAAAACTTAAATACGATAAAGAACGTTCCGACCACCAAAATAATGAAAATTTGAAACATATTTACCAATTTTTTTTTGGATTGAGGACGCTTAGTTTAGGGGAAAAAACTGCTGAATGAGTGGTAATTAGAGCCATAATAACGTTAAAACTGCAGTGAAATTAATGGAGTATCATCAAAATAGACTTAAAGAAAACACGCGCTATAGAAAAATTGAGTTACCGGGAAAAAATTTAGACCAATATTCTCGACACTTTTTAATCCAATCACTGTGCCAAGGGCTTTAATATGACATCATAATTGAACCCCTACGAGCTTTCCTTGAAAACAAACTCGAGAAAACACGCCTTAGTTCTTTCCCTTCACTTCGTGACTAGCCGGAACGAAAAGTGTTCAAATTTCAACTAAAATTAATTCATACTTATTTCAGTGCGAAAATATAATATCAATACTAAATATGATTTCCAAGTACTACTTGACTGCATATAAACCACAGTTACAAATTGATTATTTATACCTGTTTCATAGAAACACTACTATTCAGCAAATTAGTAAATTCATTAAATTGTCTGACAAATATAAAACACTATTACAGTTTTTCGGGGTTAATGTGATGGCGGTTAAATAGAATAAAATTCATTAATTGTTTGTTTCTTTTTCAGCTTGGCAGCGTCGGTCTACTTTTGATTCAACTCGTGAATAAGTTCCAAGGCGGTCGAAAAGGACCATGCTTGGGTGGGACTGCTGAAGGAACAGATGTTTCCGTTCACATTGGTCAGTTCGGTCACGCCCCTCCACGGAGAATTGTGGATGTGTTCAGACATACGAGTGAGGTGCTGTGAGATGAGCTGTTCCGTCTCTCTCACTTCTCTCTTCAGCTTCCGACTGACTGCCAGTTTGGCCCGCAAGAAGAACCCAGTCAGCCACACCCACTCCTAAACACAACCAGAATAGCAGGTTGCTGGGAATTTTGCTCAGAAAGTGTCGATCGACCGCAGCTATTGATCCACAACGATTATGGAAACATTTTCGCAGATCGACTATTTGTCTTAACGAAACGTTAAATTTAGTTCTGTTCACTGAGAAGTTCTGTTTAGGAGTCTAATTTAAAATATGTTATTTCTGGGGTCTTTGATCAGCTGTCAACGAAAAAATTAGTTCATTTTAAAGTTTCTTTCCTTTAATCAGCTATCATTGTTCAATTTTAATTACTTAGTTGCCTTTTCGCCAAAAACTTGAGAAGAAGATTTACGCTACTGCTGGATGATTTTGTCTTAGGGGGATTTAGTCCGCAAGCGTTCAAAACTTAGCGTGATTTAAATCGGGTCAGAAAACAGACTCACTGGTCCGTTATGGTAGTTGAAACCCTTTGCAAGATCGAAGTTTTCATCATCTCTGTCATTGTCGTACACTCCGTTGTATTTCCAGTCACTGAAACGAAGAACACTTTCGACAATGAACACATTACTGGTGCTTCAAGAAGTTACTAGGTGGTCCCTCTAAGTTGAAATTCTATTTGTTTACGACAGAAAAATATCTATTAATATTTACATGGATTCAATTTAAGACCACTTATTTGTACAATATTCAAATTAATTTAACCGAGAGAGGACAGCAAACGTACCCGATAGGGTCTCAAAACGCTGCCCCAAAGTAGCAAAATCAAGGTTTAGAACATTAGAGACGAATCCTAAATTATTCAACTTACCTCGGGTCTAGAGTTTTCATTCCCAAGGGACCAAGTAGCACTTTTTGGATTGTTTCAAGAGCACGCCACGCATTTTCCAGATCACACATCTCCAAGGCCTAAAAACGCTTCAATTTTCTAGCCAGTAAATACTTTTTAGCCGAGAAGTATGATCAAAAATTATTTGCATGTAGGTCCTCGTTTAGATCAAGAGGACACTTAGGAGCTCGAGGACGGCTTCTATGATCCGAATGATTACGGATGACTTGGTATCTCTTCGAGCAAAAAAACAGCAGTGCATATTAAAATTGACGATCATCAACGTTGCTCCAGAAAGCGCAAGAGATCATTCTGATAATATATTGGTCGAAAATCTATCAAGGAGCTGTAAACGTATCAACACAGAAAAACAACGTTTCTGGACTCACCTCTGCAATTGCAATAGCGTAGTTGGGTCTGAGCTGGTAGTCAGTCCATGGGTTCTGGGACCCCAGAGTGTCCTTGTAGATGTTCTTCTTATTCACCAGTGACAAATCGTTGTACCTTTCATCGGGTGAAGCGCCCACGAAGAAGTGACAGTCGAAGCTTGCTCCTAGTCTCTCGGCCCAATTGGAGAATTTCAGAAGAGATCCATCTACAATCATAAAGCCCATGGCTATTTTGACTACAAAAAAGCTCCAGATCAAGGCTGAAAATAGAAAAATCCTCAGTACAATTCAGTGTCACAGATGCTCAGTGGCATAGGCATCAACAACTTTTGTGTACAAATTGAATTTCTCAATAAAGGTGAAAACTTTTATTGTAAGTGAGCAATGTTCAAGGCATTCAGACGAAGAATAGTTAAAAAAAACGCATAATTTTTTCACCTTTTATTTTCACGCCTTCATAGGCATACATCTTTTTCTTGTTCAATTCACCCAGCCACTTCACACATGCATAGCACAACCCCTGCAGCTCCACGGAGGCTCCATCGCGAGGAGTTGCCGGAGTGCCTCTGTTTCCAGCCCTGTCACTGGATCCCATCTTGTCCATCCAAGTTCCACAATTATATTTGTTGCCTCCAAGTGTAAAACCAGTAGCAGGATCCACAGACACTTCAACTGTGAAACCTAAAATGACAAAAATCATTCATACTGTCTCTTTATGATACGATAATAAAATGTCACAGTCCTTTAAAATAATCAAGCAAGCTAATGTGGTACAAATAGTTTTAAAACACTTCGTGTTTAATCATACCTTTGCGCAAAACGCCTAGCGTTCGTGTTCTACGAAACAAAACTGTAAACAGCACAATTGACGGAATCAAGGTCAACCAATAATGAACACTAGTTTCGCAGTAGCAAAAAAGTACCTGGTTTGCACATATTACTGTCAATCTGTGGTCCAGCATTTCTCTCAACAAACCGGATTCCCTGTGCGTGCTTCTGAAGACCTTCTTGGATGATATCGGCCAAAGAATGAAACTCCTAGAAAATAGATGATTTGTATGTGAACAGATCGTCATATGACTTGAGAATCTTGACGAGCCCTTAGAAGGTAACTTTCTCCCATTTACATATAACAGAATCAAGGTCACGTAAAATTATATAAAAAATAAATAGGAATCTCCACTCAGTTACGTTGAGGATTTCAATTTACAAATTAGTCTTGAAATTTGTTCAAATTGTTGGGTCTCTTTCCCATGACGAAGAAAGCACGCTTCGCCTTCACGTATATCTTCCTTGCAATAACTAAGGGTAAAAATACTTCATTAAGACAACGGAGGGAAAATAAAATTTAACACAGAGATGAAGCTGCACTTCGTAAACACAATTAAAAAACGGAAAAAAATAGCTTCGAAAAACGTAAAGGCGAAATAGAAAAAGGCAAGAATATGACAAATAGCCGGTTACTCTGCAAATAATAGAGAATGGTCCGACCACAGTTTTTCACATTAGTATCCTTTTTGGCGATAAAAACGATCTGAACAAACAACTAAAACTTAGACATATTCGACAGTCATAGTAAAATAGGTACATTGGACAACAATTTAAAAAAATGACTACAAAAACAAAAAAATATCAAAAATGTCCCAGAAAAAATTTGTAAATTTATTTTTGAAATTTTTAATTCCCAAAATTTCGCGAAGAAGTCCAAAAAAAAAATTTTTTTAATCGACTAAAACAAAATCTTCGGGTCTTAAAACAAGCAAAAAAAACTAGTTAAAGCTTGCTCACTCGCCTTTACTCGCTCGAAATTAGACAAAAATCAAGAATTTCAAACCGGTATTTCTCAACACTGGGAAAAAATTTTTATGTCGTTCGAGTCACGACTGAAAGGGTTTAATACGATATATCAATCGAATCATTCCGGTGATTTTTGTCCATACTGATTTAGCGTGGATAAACAAAACGAAAAAGAAAACTAAAACATACCCGAATACAAAGTTCCTCCCCATTTTTCAAATGGCCGAAACAAGAAGTAGTAAAGAGTTTAGAGAAATAATTGACCTCTACGGGATTCAAACCTCAGCCCTGGAAAACCCAAGAACTGAAGTCTACTGCCATGCATACCTGTGCCACTGGAGCCTGCAGAAACCAAACACTAATCAGTTATAAATTGGAGAATACATGCTATTAAGCAGCAAATGATATGCAACAACAGTGCCACCAAAATGAACACTTTTATTTGCAGGTTAGATTTGCAAAAAGTTCGTAACATGGCACCACTCTCGCTAGCTCGCATGTGAACGTAGATCACCACTCAAAACTCCGTAATTTACAGAAAATAGCTAACAGACAATTGGAAGGGTGTCAATTAAACAAAAAGTGATTGACTTTTTAAAGCATTTTCAAAGAAAAATGTATAGCCTTGAAGCTCTTTGTTATTCAAGAATCCTTGATGATTGACGTTTTAATTAAAAAAAAACGGAACCAAATTGAGAGGTATGAGACAATATGTATTTTTCAATCAGCTCGAAAATCTCAAAATTAAAACGCACTTTCGAAACTAAACGTTTCTGCATTTTCATAATTGGAATGCTTAATCATCAGAAAAATAACATGTATTAAAAAGTGTCTGTAAACTATTATATTCAAGCTGGAGGTTACAACTGAAAAAAATTCAAATATCATATACTCACGTGTTCAGTTGACATTCTCTCGTAGAGTGCCGAGTCATGTCGATAAATGCGGGCCACTTTCTCCTCCAACAACTTCCTAGCTTCTTCAGTAGTCATCGCCTGGCACAGGTGACGGATACTGTTCAGCCACCACCAGACGGCGTCTCTGCAATTATACCTGGACACTTCTCCTCCTCCCAGTAGATTGGGAATCAAACCGTGGCGCATGGTTGAAGCGTAGCTTAGGATAATGTATCTGAAAGCAATACAAAAATATCTGAAAAATACGCCACACAAGCTAAGAACTAACGTGCGCACAATTCGAGTTAAATGAACTGCCAATCAAACATGCATTTTTAAACGTCGTTGATTTTCATACTGACCCTGACCTAACAATCTTTCTTTTTGAAAACTAAAAAAAAATTTGATCCCATTTAGTTTCAAAGATTGCAGGAAAAAAACGAGCACCAGTGGTGTTTCAAACCTGGCTTCTTTTATTCGACCAGGTATAATGAGGAGCCCCCTCAATGCAATGAACGTGTCCCTTCCCCAGTTGCGCCAGATTCCCTCGCTGAAGTGTGGGAGTCCGGCTGCCAGCGATGGGACATCACTCTGCAGTTTGTGGACATAGTCAAAGCTGGCCTTCATGTTGTCCAGCAGCACTGGTGCCAGAGCAGCCGTCTTGCACACTCCTGTCAGTTGGACTGAGCCAAGGAGCAACTTGCACTTCAGTGAACCAATATCTTCGTTCGGCCTGAAGAAAGAATTTTTGTTGGGACACTTAAGGCGATTGGCTGTTCAAGCTTATTTAAAATGCGAAGAAAAAAAGACATCCAAACGTTCCGCGAACAAAAAAAAGCAAAAATTCGCGTGTCCTATTTTAGTAGTAATACACAGACGCGAAGCTGAGCTTCGCGCCACTTGCGATACAAAAATGAAGAACTATGTTTAAAATCGAACGGAAATAAAAGGAAAAAAAATTGTTTTTGGCATTAAATTTTTCAAAAGCCCAAAATATCAAAAAAAATACCTGTACCATTGAAAACTATACAAAGGCGTTTCGGAATAAAACAAACAAGTCGAATATTTAAAAAAAATCGGCGAAATTAAGCCGGATGAGACTAACCGGGCTTTGAGGTCTCAAGCATGGGTTTTACAGCAACATGGAAGACAGCTGCTGAACCTTCAAAAAATAGTCGGGCTACCAGAACTGTAAAAAAATAATCAGACGGACGATAGTATAAAAAGTCACAAACTCTACTTAACAAAAAAATGAAACGGCCGGATACGAACAACAAGCATTTGCAGTCTCGAGCAGTTGTTACTTCTACAACAGATGGTTGATTGAAGTTGAATTTATACTTACCAAGCGGTAACAAAGCCGAAAATGCCCAAGCAGAAACCCTTCAAGACAAAAAAACTTCAGCCCGCTTTCCCCTTAGAACACGCACACAAAAAATTATTTCGGTCCTCAAAAGACGGAAAAGGGGGCCACTGAAATAAAAAAACCCAAACCAAATCAGCCAAATAAAAAGCAAATTTAAAAAAATATAGCCCACAACTTTCCGATTTCTTAACTTTCAATTTCAAAAGAAAAAACATAGATGGCCTTGGGGCTCTTTCAATTTCTAGAACAAATTATGATTGACCTTTTTTTATTCATTTAACCCAATTTGAGAAAACTGGATCAATAGGTAAAATTTTAGTCCGCTGCGAAATCTAAAAAAGAAGTCGATCACAAATAGAAGTCGAAGCTAGAAATCAATCACGTTTTAAAAATCATTGCGACCTATATAAGAGCCTGAACTACGTTGATCAATTCTTGAATAAACGGAAGCTAACAAATCGACTTGGTAAAATTACAACCAATGTAACAATCAAATTTCGATTCGACCTGATTTTTGAAATGCTAAAACACTACGAGCAGCTACAATGAAAATAGTTTATAGCAAAAATAAACAATTCTTACATGTGACAGCTATGCCGACAGAACAAACAGTCAAATATTAGGCCTACAATTTTTTTTAAACAGAAAATTACCGTTTGAAACGGAAAAATTCGAGCCCAGGACCTTTGCTGTCACAGGCGTATTCTTTACCTCCAGGCTAAGTGGGCAGGAGATACTAATAAACTTGAATTCAGTATGAACTCAGAGTCGAAGCTGTGCTTCGCAAGCAATTACAAGAACACGGCCAAAAAGCACCGCTATCAAGTTAGCTAAGAAAAAGTAGAAATAAGCCTCGAATGAGCAAAAACTCGGCTAAGTGCAACCTACTGCAATCCTATTCCAATCTGCAACCTACTGCAATCCAGAGATTTTGAGTCTCACTCACTATTTCCTCAGCCACTCAAGCTTATCAACCGAAAAACACTAGTCACGAACAAAGCAGCTACATATGCTAACAATTGCCAATGCGATTCAGCACCAAATATAAATAGACTCAATTTTGCTATTAATAATTTGGAATATAACAAACTGAAGCCATCCACACTAACTTTGCATGTAACAGCTTGCAAAGCATAAAGCCACATTATGTTTAAATTATGCGTTTCAAAAAAATTGCGAGCTATATTGACTAAGAAAATTTCTGAAATCAAGTTTTTCTTATTGTGATGTTGTTTAAAACAAATAGCTTCTTTCGGTTCATTTGATGAATCAAAAAAACATCAACTGTGTCGATTTATTACTATTCGAATGTCGAGGCACGTGCTATCAAAAAGCTGTAAAGGTGCTCCACCATTATTGGGGTGCCGCGCCAATATTTGTTGCTTGGTTTGGAAAAAAAGAAGGTTCGTACTCATACACTAGCTTCGCAATTATAAACAAGGGACCAACAGGAGTCCAGATGAGTCCTGAGAAAAAAGTTATTCACCGGGAAAAAATAGCACCCGATTGCAATACCCTTGCTTTTCGCAAGAGTAACCAGCAGTCTGACGAACTTTCAGACAAACAACAATTAATTGTCGAAAAACAACTGATTTTATAGTTTGTACACAGAGGCGAAGCTGCACATCGCAAACACAAGCAAGAAAATGGAAATTTAAGAGTCTCGCATCTGCGTCACAATCACTTAAAAAGTTATCAACACAAGATGTCAATAAAGAAGCAACAGTTGCTCTTACAATGCAAAAGCTTTTCAGAAAAAGTACCATCAAATAAAATTGAAACTAATTCAATAAGCCGCAATCAAACCTCTGACATGTACATAAGGAGTGTCACATATTCGCATCTGTGCCACGGTCGCTTAAAAATAAACAAGGGAGCAGCTGCAGTTTGAGGTAAGCTGTTTGCTCATTTAGTAATTTTTCAAACTGTGTCAAAATGTCAAAAATTAGACATTTACCAAGTCCATATATGTTTGTCTTTCAAAAATTCGGAGAAATAAATTTTGCAGGAGAGATCCTTAGATCATCTCAATTCTAATGATTTGAAGATCATCTCAATTCGAATGAGTCTTTCAGAACTGACCAGGAAGTCCCAAAATAGGTATACATTTCTTTCGAACACAGCCGATTCCATACCAAAATTCGCTTTTGCAGGGGACAATCGGTTATGTCGGGAATACCCCTAGTGCTTGTTTTTTCGATTAGGCCTCAAGGTTAGATTTGGCACATAAGTTTTCAAGAAAAAACCAAAAAAGCACAAAAATTAAACAATGCTCTCAACAAAATTTCGGGCGTAGCCGCTGTGCAGAGAAAATCATTGGAGCATAATCAATCGATTAGGACCGTAACCTTAGATTTGTCTGGGTAGTTTCAGAAAACCCAAGACAACGGTCAAAATTTGAAACATTGGACATTTTTTGTGGTCAGTCCAAAAAATTGATAAAGACAATTCTCAAGTACATAGATGAAGCTTAAAACAATTGAGGGAATCGATTTATGAAGTGGATACCCCTACAACTTATTTTTCGATTGAGCCCTCAATCTCAGATTTGGTACCGTAGTTCTCTAAAACGCGGTCAACTACTCAAAAATTGGACTTTTTCTAAATCCAACTTTGCTTTCCTACAAAACGGGTTTTTCGTGACCTTTACACTTATGCTGTTCGGTAGACGAGTTTGCATTCATTTCAGCAAAAGAAATGAATTGAACTAGGGGCCCAGCTGAAAGCTGGAGAGACCTGTTTGATTATTTTAATATTGATTATTTTAAAATTGTTTTAAAATTTCAGGTTTCTCAAGTCAATAGCGCCCTTCCTACGCAAAAAAAGTGAAAGAGAAGCTTATGCAATCATTGGTAACGTTTTCGGAGCCATACAACTTTTTAAGTTCCCTATTTAGAAGGACTGCCCGCGCCCGATAGACGTCGTTCTGCCGGGGAGGAGAGATCATACAAAAAATCGTCCTCCCCGTTGTTCTAATACACCTTTGAGGAGTAGAATTGAAGTATATAAATGATTAAAGTGAGAGGTACAGATTTTTAATGATACCTCTGAATTGATCTATGAGCGCATCAGGTGACATTTTCAATACATCATTGCTTCCACACAAGATGACAATGGTGTCGTACTGATCGATTGGCGCATGTTTTAAGTGATTTATGACCTCCCATTAAACGGGCCTTTCACAGTGCGACAAGGCAAACCGTATCAATCATGGTTACATGCTAAATATATTTAAAATAAAATCATATGCACAATGCTTCAACAATGTGAATATATATTCACTAGAATTAAGTGAAATGTGTGTTTCACAAACCAGCTAACATTAATGAAATAAAGTATTTTTCATTTTTCTAAAGACTCTTTAATTTTCGAATTAATTAAATTTTGTCCAAGCATTGCAAATATGACTATAATATGTTGACTATAACTGACATCACAAAAACGTTCTGGAACAAACCGACCTGATCAAAGAGAACTAGCGTAACTCGTGCAACTTCTCGTTGGACTTCTTCGAACCATACAAAAAAACTCAACACAAAGCCAATAGCACCAAGCAAAAGCGAGAAAACGTAAGCATAGCGGATTCCATTGTCTAAAAAATACACACAATAAGTATATTGAATCTTTGTTCCAATGCCAAAAAACGTTTAAAAAAACTTTTCCTAAGTGTACAGCTCTTCCCCGAGACAAATTAAGGACCAGCCCCTTGGGCAGGGGAGTTTCCTACAACCTGGTCTATCGATTAAACCCTTAATCCCAAATCTGGATGGGTAGTTTTTGAGGAAATCGATAATTTCCGAAAAAAAAGGCCAAAAAAGTGACTTTTCCTAAGTCTATAGCTCTTCCTCTAGGCAAGTTAAGGACCAGCCGCTTGGGCGGGGGAGTTTCCTACAACCTGGTCTATCGATTAAACCCTTAATTCCAAATCTGGATGTGTAGTTTTTGAGGAAATCGATAATTTCCGAAAAAATAGGCAAAAAAATCAAAAAAGTGACTTTTTCCTAAGTCTATAGCTCTTCCCCTAAGCAAATTAGGGACAAGCCGCTTGGGCAGGGGAGTTTCCTACAACCTGGTCTATCGATTAAACACTTAATCCCAAATCTGGATGGGTAGTTTTTGAAGAAATCGAAAAAGTTTGAAAAAATGGCCTAAAAACCGAAAAATTGACTATTCCTAAGTGTATAGCTCTTCCCCTAGACAAATTAGGGACGAGCCGTTTGTGTAGAGGGGGGGTTCCTACAATCTGGTCTATCGATTAAACCCTTAATCCCAAATCTGGACTGGTAGTTTTTGAGGAAATCGGAAAGATTTGAAAAAAGGCCGAAAAAGTCAAAAAAGTGACTTTTCCTAAGTCTATAGCTCTTCCCCTAGGCAAGTTAAGGACCAGCCGCTTGTGCGGGGGAGTTTCCTACAACCTGGTCTATCGATTAAACCCTTAATTCCAAATCTGGATGGGTAGTTTTTGAGGAAATCGATAATTTCCGAAAAAATAGGCAAAAAAATCAAAAAAGTGACTTTTCCTAAGTCTATAGCTCTTCCCCTAAGCAAATTAGGGACCAGCCGCTTGTGCATGGGAGTTTCCTACAACCTGGTCTATCGATTAAACCCTTAATCCCAAATCTGGACGGGTAGTTTTTGAGGAAATCGAAAATTTCCGAAAAAATGGGCAAAAAGTGAAAAAAGTACCGAGTTGTGAAGCTTTTCTAAGACCGTAGGGGGTGGGGTAGGGTAAAAATTGCCCTAAATTTTATGCAGGCAGGTAGGTGAAACGCTACTGAATCCATTGGTACCACTTTTATGAGAATCTGACGGGTAGTTTTTTGGGAAAGCGAATTTTTCGAAAAATCGTCTCAAAAAAAAAAAAAAAAAAAAAAAAAAAACCAGATCTCATCTGAAAAAAAAAAAACGTTTTCATAATACCTGTTTAATAAATCAAACAGGAACTTAACCAGATCAAACGTTAAACTATGAAAACTCAAATTTGAGCCTGAACAAAACTAAATTTTTTCAGGAAAAAACAAAAAAACTAGCCTGACCTATATAAAAGTCCGAACTACATTCATCGACTCTTAAAAAAAGATTTTTGCTGAGTTAAAACTTTTTCAACAAAAAATAATTGGATTGATGCTTATACAGATACAGACAAAATTACTACCTTTTCTTTCGATTAAACCTTTGATCTCACATTTAGCAGACAAGTTCGGAAAAATCAGAAGTTTCCAAAAACAGTCAAAACATCAAAACTAGACAATTTCTAGGGCTTTAACTTTTTGTAACAAAGATAAGGAGGCAGTCGTTTAAACAGAGAGGTTTTCTAACACCGGTTCTTGCGATTGAACCTTTGATCCCAGATGTATGGCAAGTTAGTGTTTGAGAAAAAGAGAAAAATCCAATAAATGGGTCCATGAACCTGTCGGAGGCGGTCGTGTAAGGTAAAAAGAGATTAGCGGAATATGCGGCACACAGAGCAGCAACCGGTCTTTTCACCAGTTTTGTGAAAATAAGGGTGCCACCTAAAGTAGCACCAAAAAATGCGACTTAGGTTGGAAAAAATTTGCCCTGTAGTGTCAAATTACGCTCCGCATGTCTAAATATTGTCAATTGAAACCAGAAGATTATTTACCGCTCTCAAAATTGGTCGAAAAATGTCAAATAATTATCACTTGCACACCATTACTCACTGGTTTAACTTGATCATGATCTGTTTCACACATGCATTGTAAATAGCAGTCACGAGACACTGCAAGTACGCTGGCTTCAGATACATCGGCAGCTTCTTCATCTCTTTAACCACAGGCTCCAGCCACTCACCCACCTGCACAAAAATGCACTTTCTTCTTGATTAAAGAAAAAGCTGTAGTTTCCAAAATATTTAGGCTATTTAGTTATTTGAAATAAAATTTTCATTTTTATAGGTTTGTTTTGATATAATTTTCATATGATTCTTTTTCCTAAAAAGCAGTAAGCACATTTAAACGTATATTCAGATCCGGAGACTACGAAAAGGATCAGAAAAACAACCTCAAAAAATGAATCAATTAGACTTCACTAGAAGGAACGGTGTGGCAATAACTGTTCTTTACCTGTTTGACATTGGGCTGCATTTTGAGTCTGTTGACGGAATAGTCCATGAGCCAGTCCCCCTGTCGCACATTCTCACACAGCGGGTGTCCCAAGTCCCCACCTGCCACTGCCTCATCCAGCACAAACTTCACACCTAACACAACACATTTTGATTAAGTTGAAAACAAAAACTTCTAAGACCTAAAACCTAGAAACTCTTGTAAGTCAATGTCGGATAAAAGCAGTCAATGCTTAGGAAAAAATCCCCCACCAGCCTGCAAATTTTACTAAGTTTTTTCTGTTCACTTTGTCCGATTGATACACAAATTGGCATACCGATTAATTAGACCATGACAAACGTATGTGGTCTCCATACTTATACTTTTGAAACCCCTCGTCACGCCAAAAAACGGATACTCATCTGAGGTGGGGGAGGAAAAAAGAGCTTAAAAAAGGATAGCAATCCTTGAATTTTAATTGATAAAATGACAAACCAAAAAAACATAGTATCCAAAAAAAAACATTGAACTTATGTCCTCGGTTGAATCTCGAACGAATTGACAGAAAAGCATCTAGCACAGGACAGATGAACTGCTTCATTTTTCACAATTTTTATTTGGCTCTGTAAAAATACTTGAAAATATGCCCGTGCCTGCAATTCCGCAGTATTTCAAGTCCCCATAACTCGGCAAGTTGTATGGCCCCAGCCCCATTCCATGCGAGCTCTCCTCAGCTCCGCACCGGTACAGAAGGGCATTCATATCCACCAAAGAAAGCGCGGAGAAGTCAAAGGGATGCAGAGGAGTGTCTTTTGAGTGATCAGTTTTAGAAGCTGGCGCTTCGTGGTCAAAGAATGCGGGGTCTATTTCAGATATGAGTTTCTGCACCTTCTGCATGGCCAGGTTCACATTCAAATCCAGTGATACCCTGCAAAACTCTCAAGATATATAAGAGGCTTAACACAGAGGCTAAGCGGAGCGTTGCATCATTTGCGATACAGCACAAACATAAGAAACATAAGTCAAAACAATATCGAAAAATGCTGAAAAACCAGGTGTACCAAAACTAAAATTTTCGTATGTCTAAACAAAGTTCATTCTAGGCAAAAATGCCAGATATTTGAATTTTAAATTAGCAACGGAAGAAAACTTACGAAGAACAGCCGACAATCGTTGAGCATACACAAGTTGAGCCGGAAAGTTGCTTGCAGCACAAGGAAAATCTGTGTAGCAACTATGCCGACAAAACTTGAGCAGACAACCGAAAGTCCAACCATTCAATTTTACCGGAAAAAAAGTTCTTGCATACATGATGAAAAAAACAAGGTCCGGCTGTGACTCGATCCCTGACCTTGCGGAGCCAACGCGACATCGTTACCTCTAGGCTAAGTGGTAATGAACACTCAATATGCTAAGCTTCAGAAATAAAGCAAGTAAGATGTAAGATTTGCAAGATCAGTTGTTTACAGAAAAAAGTCTTGTTCCCGTTTACAAGACATTTGCTTTCGCAGGTGTAATAAAGATTTCGAAATGAAATTCACATTTTAGGAAAAAGTGAATAAAATCACTTAGCACTAGAATCAATGGTGGTTGGTTTTAAGTTGATTTAGATAGATCTTGAAGCGCATATTTGCTTAGTTTCTCGTTACCGAAATATGGCGAAACAAAAATTCGAAAAAACATTCTGTGCTTTCATGTAGAGATGGTCTGAGAAAAGACGGACCTGAACACAACGACACTGCCTGGCTTGAAGCTCTTGAACTCCACTTTGCACCCCTGCGAAGCGTCACCCTCTTTATCTTTTACTTTCACCATCTCACTCTCACCCACCTGATAAAAACAACAAAACAATTTATTGAAGACCTCTTCAGTCAAGTTTCTTCACTTGGTTTGATAAACTTCAAACATGGAAATAACTTTAAAAAACCTTCTTTGAGATTATGACACTATCCTTTATTATGCAATGAGATAAACTTAGTTTTCCCTTAAGTTGAAAAAACGATAATGATTCAGTGATGGAAATTGCCTGAATGTTGCGCTTCGACAATACTCTCCACTGGTTGAGCCCGTTTATCACTTTGAGATCTCTCGTGAAATTCTTCAAGTTTAGAGTCCCGCTATCCTTCTCACTGGACAACACTGTGCTCGCTTCCAGAATTATCTCCGTTATTTGACCTGAACAAACTAACAGTCTTTCGACAACTTCTGAACGCATTCTGGACACCTCTTTATATCAAAACGCTCATTTCAAATTTTAAAGATTCTTTTACCATTAACACTTTGAAATTGTCAACATTGATACTGTAAATCATTTCAAAATGATATCATTAATAATGTCGGTGATCCGCATAAAATCGTACGACGGCTTTAGACATACCATGGAAATTTTAAACTTCTCTACCTGGTATGTTGAGACAAGTGACTTGGTGGGAGTGTGCCTCTGCAGGCTGTTCAGTGTCAACTGAGGGGTCGAAGGCAGTTCTGATGGCAGCTATCACACTCTCGTGAGTTCTCGAGTTGTGCCTAGTCACTGTGATCACGTCATCAGTCACTTGGTCCACGTACACCTGAAGGAGCAAACCCATTGTTGAGTTCTTGACTGTTCTAGTTCTTGTTTTCACATTATCAATCACCTTGACTAATCATTTAGTTGGAAAAACTCCAGATCAATCTTGAAACGATTATGGAAATTGTATTTTTAAAAACTAAAAAAAAGGTTTCAACTGAAAATTCAAGAAACTAAAGTAGCAAGACCTTTTGGTGTACAACTGAAAGGAATTCGATTGTTTTTATTTTTATAAACAGAACTTCGTTTTAGTATTATATTCATTTTGCCCACAGCGAACAAGAATATGAAAATGAACCTGGTCGAAAGAGGAGGCGGTGTCATTGTCTCCTGAAGAAGACATCATCTGGTGCAGTTCGTTCACAAGTCTCTTACCCCTGATCATTCCACTTCTCATACCCACAGTGGGTGGTACACTCTTGTCCCCTTTTCCACTGACGTCTTCGTTCCACTTTGGGTAGAGTCTCTTTTCGTTCACGATGTCAATCTGGAAAAGAAAGCATCAATTTCACTGAATTTGAAAAGCATAGTTACCACTAATTCGTTTCAGTAACAGTTAACGAGCTAAAAGAATTTTTTGCCATGTTTAAAAATATTTTCATATTTTTCTAAAGCAGTAAGCCTTGCAATTTAGACACTCGATTTACAAGATTCACGCAGAAAACCACCTAGTTCTGGTGTCTAAAAATTACTAAAATCAATTTACAGCAAGAAAAACCGGAAGCTGCTGATCATTTTCGATCCCCTACCTTCGATCTGGAACTTTTAATGTAACATGTTGTCTTTAAAGATGGCTGCAATCGCTCAAAAAAATCCAATGATTAGGGGTCCAAATTAAAACCGACGACCGAAAAAAATTGCCTCCAATAGGCTGCCATTTCAGAAATGGAGCTTACATAGTGTGGCACCATTTCGTCGTAGCCTCTGGAACTGCCAGTGCCATAACCACCCATCGCCACTGCTGCTGCACTAGCCAACAAATCCACCGGATGCCTCTTCTGAACACACAGTCAATCTTTATTAATTAACTCCATTGGAGCTTCACACTTTTTAAAAATTGTTCTCCCCTCACGGTCCAAGAAACAATTGACGGCCAGATTTGTAATTCCTGACTATATCCAGACAACACTCAAGCATGAGGTTGAGAATTTAAACTTTTGTTAAGTTTTTTTTAATCAAATGTTTTGGAAAAAATTGAAAAATCATAAAAACGCCATACCTCCGAAAACAAAAGGATGAGCAGTAAAATTTGGAGGTCACATTTGCAAATTCTGAGTGTAGCCTGAGAGCACCACCCTATAGGGTAACTTTTTTAGCATCATAAAAACGTCATGTCTCGGAAAGTAACACGATTTGAGCAGTAACTACATCACTAAAACTGCTAATTTCCATCAGATGCGTGAATTTTTCAGGACGAGAATTGTAACATCAATCAGATTTTTTTTGGAAAAAATTACTAATTTACTGGAAAAACTTGAAAAAAAAACATACTGAAAATTGTCATAACACGCAAACTAAAAATGAAATACAAGCCAAACTGGCAACCCCATAGAGTATCCTGACAGCACCAAAATACGAAGTTGAAAGTTCCAAAGTTTCAAGTTTTTGTTTACATCAAAAAAACCTGATAGCACCCCAGAATAGTGTTAAAAATTTCAAGTTTTAGTTATTTAAATTAAGTCTTTCGATATTATTTTACAAAAAATGATAAAAGGCATATCTCGAAAACTAAAAGGAATTGGGCAGTCAGATTAGCACAACAATAGTACACTCTGACAAAACCCCACCATAGGGTAGAAAAATTCAAGTTTGTCGGTCTGCTTTAAATAAAAGTTCTTCGAAATAAAAAAATCAAAACACGCCATATCTCCGAAACCAAACCGATTTGAGCAATAATAATTGGATTCCAGATTTGCAACTCCTGAGGTACCAAAAAAACACTTGAATTTTGTCTTTTTGAATACTCATAAAACGCCATATTTCGGAAACCAAAAATTACTGCGCAGTATCATTTGGAGGCCAGATTTGCAACCAAAAAATGACATGGAAGAGAGAATTACCAATTTTGTTAATCTTTTTTAAATCTGTTTTTTTTTTGAAAAAAATGAAAAACCATAAAACGCTATATCTCGGAAACCAAAAGGATTTGGGCAGAATTAATTAGATGCCAGATTTACAACCAATGTGTGTACCCTGAAAATATGACATGGAAAAGAGAATTTCCAATTTTGCTAATCCTTTTTAAATCTAAGTTCTTTTGAAAAAAAGAATAATAAAACGGCATGTCTCGGAAACCAAAAAGTTGTAGGCAGTTGTTTTTGGAGGCCAGATTTCCAACCAATTAGTGTACCCTGAAAAAATGACCAACATGGAAGAGAATTTCCAATTTTGTTAACCCTTTTTAAATCTAAGGTTTTAGAAAATATGAAAAAATCATAAAACACTATGTCTCGGAAACTAAGGTGGTTTGGGCAGTAGTAATTGGAGGCCAGATGTACTCATGGGGTTGAAAATTTCAAGTTTTGTTCAAAAATTTCACGTTGTTCGTTTTTTTTTTTTGAAAAACGTTGGAAAAAAAATTGACAAAATAAAAAAAAGCATCTCGGAAACCAAAAAAAAATTGAACAGTAATATTTGAAGGCCAGATTTGAAACCTGAGTTTACCCTGACAAAGCCCAAGCTTAGGTGTTTGAATTTAATTCTTTCAAAATAAACACAGATATGGAAGCTTTAAAAAATCTGCCAGTTAAAGCATTCATGTTTCAATACATTTGTGGTTTAAATCGAGATAATCGAAAAAAAAATTTCCTTCTCGCAACATATGATTTAGCTTAAACGTGCAAAAAATCTTTTGTTGAACATGCCAAACCAATACGTTGAAAAAGCTTATCAACATAGAGACTTCATAAACGTGTCAAGTGAAACGCCTATTAAGACTTGTATAGATTGACAATAGATACATTGACTATAAAAAACGGTAGATTGCTGTAACTGTAAATTTTGAAATAAAAATTTATGAGAAAAAAACTGAAACAATCGAAAACGTAATGGAAATCTTTATGAAATTCAATCAGTTTTCGATTAAAGGCAGGGGCATCATAATGCACAAAAGAACAATGAAACAAGGATATCTGGTTGCTGTGTAAGTACCACCGAAAATTCCACCCATGTTCATAAAAATGTAAACTTTTCTTCAAATTAGTGTAATTTTTTGTGGGTGCTGTAATTCGAGAACTATACGATCGCGTAAAAAATTAAAGAATTAGACATGATCAACAAGATTTGTCTTGAAAAACAGAAAAATGCCAAACAAGTGCTTAAAAAACATCCACAATTAGATTTCTTTAAAGTAAAATCAAAACTTTTATCCTAAAAGTCTAAAAGCAAAAAAATATTTTCACATAATGAGCGTTACTCGGTCGCATTATTCGCTAAAAATTAGATTTAATATCAAAATTTCCAGCGAATCACGACAACGAGGGCTTTAAAATACATCTCTGGACCCATTGCGATAATTACTTGTGGTATCTGATTGTGCGTGGAGAACACAAAAAAAAGTTAACCACCCGACTACAAAGTTTTTCCCCATTTTCAATGGTTGGAACAATGAACAAATTAAAAAACTGTTGAGCAATAACACTAACAATTTTAAACGAAAACGGTTAAATCGAAAAAAGGAAAACTTTATATTTAATGGAGTTGGATTTTCCTGTTGGTTTTGGGGCGGCATATTTTTATTCTAGACTGAGGCGACATACACCAGTCATAATCATCGCGTCTTCTTTTTACACTTTTTCTCGATACTCAAAATGTTCCGAGGGTTTCTCCGAGAAAACTTCATATCGCGAACTGGTTGAGAATTAGCCCCAATTCTAAAGTAAGTTTGGATTATCGTAAACGTTTTTCTGCACTAATTTAGTCCGGAGATTAGTCGACGTGAATAGTTTCAATAAACTGGTTGAGAATTAGCCCCAATTCTAAAGTAAGTTTGGATTATCGTAAACGTTTTTCTGCACTAATTTGGTCCGGAGATTAGTCGACGTGAATAGTTTCACAATTCTGAAGTGGGTTTGTATTTGTGAGAAAAATTCTTGTTGAAAGTCATCAATTCAAATGAATGGAAGATCCCCTTGTGCAGTTTAGTTCCTTAATTTGAAGATTGATATAATCATGGAAGTTACTATGGAATAATAATAGTTCTCAATTCAGTCTCTTTCTGCTTTATTAATTTTTATTCTTCATTCCTATTATTAATTTTTCCTGACTTCGTGAATTTTGCTTGCGCGTGTTTCAAAACCCATAAAATCCACAGTGATCAAAGTGTAGGTCAACATATTGCTGCAGTCGTGAATTTTCTCAAGAGATTTTGGCACCTGGTTCTGTGATCATTTTTTTTAGTACTAATATAATGCTCAATGAAAAATTCCAGGAACAACTACACGAGAAATTAAGTTGAAACTCATTGATCTATCAAAACACAACGAATAGCCAGATCCTTAGCGGATGATGGATTCTATATGCGCTGCAGAAGCGGAATTGGTTTGATTTGTTTTGACCGAACCTATTTACTCCTTATAGTTTTATCCTAAAATCTTTTAACATCAAATCCGTTTCACACCCATATTACTGTCTTTGGTCACGGTATAAAAGGTCATTTTTTCGGCTTCGTTTCAAGTGAACGTACGAAAAGCAAACAAAATATCGACAAGTTGCAAAATGAAATTGTCGCTATTTTAAGAACAAGTTCAGACAAGAATCCGAAAACGGGCAATCTGGATTAATTAATCGAACCAAAATTTTGTCTCTACAAATCCGACTCCAAAACATGAAATCAAGGAACATGACAAGCACGATCGCGTACTAGCGTTGGTTATTGTCCGGATATAACCAAAAAATCAACATTACAAAACCAATACTTCATTTGCTAATTATGTTGATTATGGACTAGACATGTCATAAAGTGAAAAAAGATATGAAACATTGAATTTGCTCCGAAAACTCGGCAAAAATTGATAGTAGTTTCTGGTAATTTGATCAACTTTTTTATATTACGGTAAAAAAACTGGATGGCTAAAAATACGGCTATATGGTGATTTCTCTGGGATGTAACCACTAACAGAAAGGATTTTAAAAATCTAGTCTTGGTATTCCGTTTGCGACGTCTCACCGACGGTGTAAGGAGACGCCTGTACAAAAAATCATCAAAACAATTAAAACCTTTTGAGACTGACACAGTGGATGTTCTGAGTTTTTTTTTACAAAAATATAAACTGGCTAAAGCCTGAAAGAAAGGAACTGAATGTCAGTTTTACTTCGTATACACTCAACTCACTTTCTTTTCGAGAAAGTATTTCTAGTTGATGCATTCTGAATAGTTGAACAACTGAAAAAAAGATCGAATGCCAAAACTCCATCCTTCGACATCGCTTGCAATTGGAATGATACCGCTTGTTGCAGCAAGTCAAAGATTCCTAAAGGCGGGGTAATCATTGCTTCTAGGTGTGGGACAAGACTCTTAATATAGAGGATTTGGATACTTAATGGATACGAACTGGATACACTTTGAGCCGAAACAAGCAGATATGATCACAGATACCGATCTCAAAAGACACCTTATTCGGGTCCACTCGGAGAAAAGTAACCTAGTCTTCATTGCCGACACGGGTTTCTCAATTTCTTTCGTAAATGAAAAAAAAAACAGCTAATCTTCTAGTATCCTCGGCGAAATCGGCAAGAAGAATCAAAATGGAAGATGACGACGAAGCTAATCGCATGGTTTGCTACAATGAATACCAAATCCCTTCACTTGGCCGATTAATCGCCCCTATAAAATCCGGAGGATGGACGATTTATACAGCTTCTTTCATAGTGGTGGACGACAGACGAGCGAACATCCTGGGGCACAATCTCCTTCTACAAATCGGAAAACAACTAGGCCAGAAAAAACCAGGTGGTAACTTAACACTTCATGTTGACAACATTAAAAGTTCGGACACAC